TAACACATGTATTAATACAAAAATGTATTACACACCAGGGCAATTGAACAGGCCCATATTCCAGGATAGTGTATTTGTTAACCGAACACAAAATAAACAATATATAAAAACAGTATATAAAATTAGGTCTAAGACACTGGTTTAGCCTTAAAATAAAATAGAATAAAATAAAATTAAGCATTCTGTACTTGCTCAAATGTTTCTGACTGTGATGTAATTTCCTTTATAAATAAGAGATCAAATAAAATGATGCCTGACTTTGGTTTGAGACACAATTTTAGGCTCCAGCATCTTTACCAAGAGGTTTAAAATATGGAAAATGCAATAATGTAAAATAAAAAATTAAGTGACAGAAAATCTGAATAAAATAAAAGCATTATGTTATTGTGGAAGGTATAGCACCACAGGGAAAAAAAACATAAATAAAAAAAAAACCCATAAAAATGCTCCACTTTCACTTCCCTCAGTGAAAGTATTCTTGGTATGGTGTCCCTGTAACCTGCTTCTCTACTTCTTCTCATTCCCATCCTGCCTTCCTCTTCAAAGCTCCCTATTACTTTGTCCACCATCCATCCTGAGTGTCAGAGGAAAGAATGGAACGGATAATGTGAGCCATACATCAGTTTCCACTCTCCTGTGTTGTGAGGGGAGCTGCCCTTGTCAAAGGCGTGAACCTGTAACTGTCCTCTTTGGGTAAATTGAAAGCTGTCTCTCTCCTTTTGTGTCCCCTGAGTGTTTAACAGCTCTGGGAGTGAAAACATTAACATTTCACAACTTCTGCTTTTATCCTGCAAGGCCAGACTACACAACACATTTATTTTGTCTCTCCCGTTAACATGAAAGATACTGTTATGGAGATGCTAGTTGTTTTAAGACATTTAAAATCATAATATCTCTTCTGACAGAGTGGAGATAAAAGTAGAGACTTATTGTGGTTTTAGACATAAGACTTAAGGGATAGTTCACCCAAACCTGTTCCAAACCTGTGTGAAGATATTTGAAGAATGTTGGTAATGGACCCCATTAACCTCCATAGTATGAAAAAATAAATAATATATACAGGGTTTATAGACAACATCAAGGGAAAATTCACCCTATGTATTTGGAAAATGTGTGTTATATGGTAGATCTTTTTGTGAATGATTATGTGTGTGTAATTTTTAAATAAATAAGTAATTGTTAAATATATATATATATATATATATATATATATATATATATATATACTCACCTAAATGATTTTTAGGAACACACACTAATAGTGTGTTTGACCCCCTTTCGCCTTCAGAACTGCCTTAATTCTACGTGGCATTGATTCAACAAGGTGCTGAAAGCATTCTTTAGAAATGTTGACCCATATTGATAGGATAGCATCTTGCAGTTGATGGAGATTTGTGGGATGCAAACTCAGGGCACAAAGCTCCAGTTCCACCACATCCTAAAGATGCTCTATTGGGTTGAGATCTAGTGACTGTGGGGGCCATTTTAGTACAGTGAACTCATTGTCTTGTTCAAGAAACCAATTTGAAATGATTCGAGCTTTGTGACATGGTGCATTATCCTGCTGGAAGTAGCCATCAGAGGATAGGTACATGGTGACCATAAAGGAATGGACATGGTCAGAAACAATGCTCAGGTAGGCCGTGGCATTTAAACAATGCCCAATTGGCACTAAGTGGCCTAAAGTGTGCCAAGAAAACATCCCCCACACCATTACACCACCACCACCACCACCACCAGCCTGCACAGTGGTAACAAGGCATGATGGATCCATGTTCTCACTCTGCTTACGCCAAATTCTGACTCTACCATCTGCATATCTCAACAGAAATCAAGACTCGTCAGACCAGGCAACATTTTTGCTGAGCTCTTGAAAATTGTAGCCACTTTTTCCGATTTGTAGTGGATATGAGTGGTACCCGGTGGGGTCTTTTGGTGTTGTAGCCCATCCGCCTCAAGGTTGTGTGTGTTGTGGCTTCACAAATGCTTTGCTGCATTAACGAGTGGTTATTTCGGTTAAATTTGCTCTTATCAGCTCAGATTGTCTTGACCAGGACCACACCCCTAAATGCACTGAAGCAACTGCCATGTGATTGGTTGATTAGATCATTGCCTTAATGAGAAATTGAACAGGTGTTCCTAATAATCCTTTAGGTTAGTATATTTGAATAAATAAAGATTATTGTTAAAGCAGCTATTTTAAATACTATAATATAATTAAAAAAAAAAGTGTGATCTAGACAAAATATGCATATTTCCGAACATGCATCAAAGTAGAAAAATGCTTGGAACCACATGATGTAGTTACTCTCACCAGACAAATTCTGCCCCCCTTTGCACTTAAGGAGCTAAACTCTTTTTACAAACTTGAAGGCATAAAGGGAAGCGATATAAAGAATGTCTTCTGTTTGGCAAGTTTTTAATTAGCTGGCGGTAGGGGGGAGGGAGATGTGCTGGCAGTGGCCACCCGATATTGTGTTGTTTACAAAGCCTATGGCTGTCACAGAGACTAGTGAATTCTCAGGACACTTATTTCAGTGATATCTGTCAGGCAGAGGGATATTTTATGCATGGTATTCACAAGCACCTATTAAATAACTTCTCCTGTTACAGTTTAATGTGCAGAAACAAAAGTAAGCCTTCTGTAGGCTAATTTCCCAAAGGCTGTAAACACTGTGACTCCATGGAGATTTCAAAACATGCTGTGCTTGTTTAGGGCTCCCACATGTCAACTTATTGATCATCCAATGGCGTTAGCTTTGGGTAGAACAATTATAACTTTTTCACATGCCTGCAGAAAGGGGGGGCAAGTGGAAGGGACAGTATATAGTGTTTTAGAAACCTACAAACCTTGAAAAAACATTTTTTTGGTTAATCTCAGGGAATGTCAGTATCGCATGAGTGTAGTAAAATCACCCCACAGCAAAGTTTATCATAATAACCAAATTTCACTGCTATCCACCTTTTGCTCAGCAAACCATTTATATGTTTACGTAGATTTCACATTCCACCACTTCAGACACGTCGATGAGTCCACCATCTTGGAACAATAAGCATCAATGATGCTACAACATTGCACATGCAGCTTCTGGTTGTGAAACCACCGAGATTTATATTCCCGAAGAAATAGGAAAATCTTTCAATGTGTTGCTTGTGTTTTTATATGTATTTAAATAAAAATACAGTAAAATTATTTTTATTTTTATTTTTTAACACAAGCAGGTAATTATGAGATGTGGCACAAGAAAATCAATAATAGCAAAGAGTATATAATAATAATAATAATAATAGCATTTTATTCATACATTTTATTTTACTTATTGAATAAAAAAGGACATATTCTATTTAACAACAAAATTGTGTTTTTCACACTACTGGCTCAGAGTGCAGGACTCAGCAGGTCTACTGCATTATTTGGTCATCCTAAAGGAAGCAGATTGTGGAATGATTCATTGGTGCGTGCTCACTGTGCGTTTCCCCCTATGACTTCATCGCTGAACTGCATCATGTGTAAAAAGCATGAGGAAAAACACAAGCGCCCCAGCCTGGTTATATATTTCTCCCATTTGTTTCATTGCACCACATGCCTGCAATGGGCACATTTGCAGCGACAGTGTTTGTTGGGTCTCCAGTGTGGTTTTAAATAAGATCCTCTTCTTGTAGATGAGTGGAGGGAGAAGAGAAACCACTCAAGCTGAACAGCTGAAGTCTGGCATAGCAGGTTTCTGCAATTTCTCTTGGTAAACACAAGGGTTGGGAATTGTTAGAATCTTAGACTTTCGGATTCTGCCAATTGATTCCGGTTCTTTTTGATTCCCATTTTTGATTCTAAGGTACAAACATTTAGCCATATTTACAGTATATCAAACATCTTTATTCTGTGTCTTTTGGCAAATGTTTTGTTGCCACTGATTCCCATGAACAAAAATCCGCAACCTACAAAAAAATCAGCAGCCTAAAGAACACAAAAATACCACAGCAAAAACAACTGGATTAACCGATTTATATATTTCAATCATTATTAAAGAACAAATAAACAAATTAGCAATAGCACAAATAAATACAACTTAACAAAGTTGTAATCAAATGTAAAATACCAGTGAATAGTTTTCATTTTATAAATAACATATAGATCAATCCTCATTAAAGTTGCAAAAGTTATTCAGTCAAGATCAAGTTTTGTTTTGTTCTTTGATTAACATTAATGACAGACTGCAGCAGGTTTAATGAGTCCGTTCTCATCCCAAGGCGTCATCACCTCATCATCCAACGCACATTAGAGTAAAATGAGACGCAGATATATATATATATATATATATATATATATATGGGGCAGAAGGCGCCTCCTAGTGGTCTAACCCTAACCCTACCCCATACCTAAACCTATAACCGAAGCATCTCATGTGACGCTAAAGGGTGCCATGTCTACGCTTTGGCAAATGCGTCGTATATGACGCCTTGGGATGAGAATGCGTTGGTTTAATAGCCTGCTGTCACTTTAAGAGCTCATACAGGATCCAATATACTGTTACTAAAGCTGCCTTGTCTTGCAATCAGAATTATTGTAAACACTAGTTTCCTAGTTCAAAAATGGACATGAACGCTCTCGCAAGTCAAAATTTTAATGCAATGAGCTCTTCGGAAGTGGGAAGTAGGAAATTTCCAATAGCATGTAAAGGCAGCATTAGGGGCTGTTCACACAGAACGCATTTTTACATTCCAATGCTTTACTCTCCATTGTTTTTATATGTAAACACGCGCTAGACAGACGTGTATATTCATTGCACTCACGTCTTGCATCTTTTGCAGGGTCTTGCGCATGACACGGCATTCAAAAAACGTGACGCTCAGGTTCAAATCAATTTTTCTAAGCAAAAACGCGTTCTGTGTGAACAAGCCTTTACCTATAAGAGGCAGACTTTGGATGTGTGTGTAAAGAAAACAGTATAGCCGAATTGAGCGTATTCTTGTGCTATTACATTAATATGCGCACACAGGAATTGATAAGCGGGATCGAAATTTTTATTTTATTACATGTATACAATTTCTGACATTAGGTATCCGATTCCAGAATTTGAATACATTTTTTTTCTGATTCCCAACCCTAAACACTCTGGAAAACAACAAAAATGCCTAGAGAACACACAGGTGGTCATTTAAGAAGTGCTTACAGTTGGATGGCTTCTTTCTGCAGTAGTCAGACATTGTGCTCTCTTTCAGGACTACAATAAATACCTGAGAGGAAAGTAATCGAGTGGCTTTCACAGCAGATGAGAAAGGAAAAAAAAGAGTGCATACATCAATGTAAAGCAGAAACATTTATTTTCGAGAGTTTTTGAATTTGATTAAGAGGAACAAAAGAATGTGCGCGCTGAGATTGATCCCTTTGAAAAGTGCTCAGCGCTCCGATTTTGTGTTGTGTGGTTTGTAATGATTAGACTGCACATCCTGTGGGGAAAGTGTGTGTAAATGAAAGGCTTTACTTTAGTTGCCTTTTCTGTGTCATCTAACTAGTTTCACATCGCCAAGCTTTTAGAGAAAACAAAGGAGGCAAAACAACTCAACAGGAAATCAAAATTCACTTTTTAGCACACGTTTATGGTCTCACTTTGATCGATTTATCAGTGAAAAGTCAAAAATTTCATAAACATGTACTAAAATCAAATCCTTGTATAGTTTTTGGTATTGACAACCACATTTACTTACAGGTGTAAGTAATCTCAAATGTCCCTTCACACCGCAACTTACAATAGCATTTCGAATACTGTGTAGTCAAGCCTATATTCTCTTACCAGTAACCATAGCGACTGTGACCAAAGTAATAGCAAAAATGGCGAGGTCCATAAAACTGAAAAATCTTTCACTTTTGACACGAGAGCCGAGAATATATATATGCAGCTTTTATATCTGGGCAGAGGGCGTAACACTCACCCCCCATCCGGGTCACGGCACCAAATGTAACTGATCCTACTTGTTACTCAACCTGCTCCGAGTGGGATTCGAACCTGTCCTCCATTGCAGAACACAACTGACGGGAGCAGCTTTGGACTGGATTTACAACCTTCAGATGACACACGGCTCATATCTCTGTTGCTGTAAGTTACAGAAACCACACATGAAAACACATGACACATTGTAGACACGCATTTGTGCAGCGCACAGAGCGTCTCTCGCACTGTTTGTGACAGGCAACTAGTTCCAATCACACGGTGCAGTTTTTCCGTATTATTTAACCGAATTTAACCGTATTAAGGACATAAATACTGGACTGACAACCATATTCTGCTGCTGTATGAATGTGGCCTTACCGCTTCCAGATGTGATGTCACCTATACTACAATATGAAACAACTGACATTTCACTGCACTGATTTTCACATAAAATGCATCATACAACATTGTACAAAAGAAAAGAAAACTTGTTTTTATTGTTTTGATCTTCCAGAATTATCATGTTTTGAGTATTTTACAACGTTTTTCTACAATAAGACCTCTTAACATTATATTCATGATTTAATTAATTTAAAAATCAAACATTTTGTACATGCTTAGGGAGGAACATTCCCTGTTCTGATGGCATAAAGATGGAGAAAGGCACATGAGTTCATGAGTGAACACATGGTTTTTGTTGTGCATCAGCAAATAAGTAAGGAAAGAAAATACTCAATAGAGAAAATAGCTGAAACTATTGTGTCAGATTAAAGTCTATACTTTTTTGTTGTTGTGTAGCACTTGGGATTAAAGTTTCAATGTGGATAATCAATTATCCAAAGCAATTCATAGCCTGAAGAAATAAGTGTTGATATGGCAATTGATAAGAAGTAAAACTCAAGACTTTTGTTTCCTCTCTCCGTTTATCAGCAACTCTTTCGAATTTTCCTCTTGAAATTTCACTATAACAGCTCATCAGAATAATGCCTCAGTACACTGGGAGTCTGAACAGTAGACTTGCAATTCTCCTGTGATGACGGTCTTCTGATTTAGCTGCTCGTTCAACGGTAAATTCGTCCAAAGATTATATTCCACCTTTGGACGTCTATATTAAAAGCATTTTACCCTGAAAGAGAGTATCTTGCACGCGAGTTCATCTCCTCTGTCTCAACCCTAGACTCCAGGGTTTGTGTATGGCTGCTCTTCAGCCCAGGGAGGTTGGATGGTCCTCAGTGTCTGGGGTGTTTTATCCAGTTCCGAATCATCCATTTCTGCCCTGAGCAGCGCTGGACGACCAGCCGCAAGCCAAAGTTCGCATCTTTTGACATTTCAACTTCCAGACAACGTCCCGTGTCTCGACTTATGATGGGCCCATTCTAAGAAACAAATATTCCAAAACACTGTAAATATATCTGGCATCACACACTCCTACAAAAATTTGAGGACAGTAAGATTTATTTTTATTTTTTTTAAAGAAAATGTAAACATGTTACAAAATATTTCTATTTCAAATAAATGCAAATTTATGGTCATCATTTTTTTTATACAGTTTTCAAAAAATACTAAGCAGCACAACTGTTTTCAACATTTCTAATAAGAAATGTTTCTTGAGCAACAAATCAGCATATTAGAATGATTTTTGATTTTTGACCCATGATTTTTTCAGGATTCATTTGAATTTTAGTTAAAGTTTTAGCAGTTTTGTTGTGTGATTTTTCCCTTTTTATTAGTTTTCTGTCTTTATTAAGCCAAATTATTACTAGGAATTTATATTAACAAAATACTGCTGTTTTAATTTATTTTATCAAATAAATATAGACTTGGTGAACATAAGAAACGTCTTTAAAAAACATTATAAAAATCTCCCAGACCCCAAAATTTTCAACGCATGTATGCTATAATAAAATATACAGTATATTTTAAGAATCTAATATCCAACACTTGATGCTTTTCTTCAACAAAACAACAATCTTCATTTAGGGAAATCAAATACTTATGTCTCAAGTGGAAAATAAAATATTAATATAAAGCGTTCAGCAAGCTTATGAATAAATTGTTTTGTATGAGTGCATTCTCTTACCTGAGTAAAATCCCACAGCCTCTGGGAGGACCGGGTGACAGAATCACATTTTTTCAAGCTGGGAGTCCTTCCTCTTCCATCATCCACCAGGCATTTTGTGTCAGGCAGAAACGTAGTCGACCCCAAGGGTCCTAACTGCAATAAGCCCTCGGTGGTGTACCTTGCCAGCTGAAATGAAATATCAAGACAATGCGAAAAAAAATAAATAAATATATATTATATATGCTCAGAAAAGGCCTATATGCAATGTATAAAATGAAAATGAAGATCCTAGATTCAGTTTATAGTTCACCCACAAATGAGAATTACATTTTCTCACATTCGTGTTGTTTCAATGACTTTCTGTGGAGCACAAAAAAAGATTAAAAAACGACTTTTTATCCATACAATCATAGTCACTGGGTTCCAGGGATTTTTTCACAGTTTCTTCAAAATATCTTATTTTCTGTTCTGCAGAAGAAAGAAAGTCAATGTTTGGAACAACATGAAGGTGAGAAAATGTATGTCATTTTATTTTTGTGCATAAATTGTTGTTATTCATGAACGCTTTAGAATACAGACATACTGTAAGGTTGTAAAAATAAAAAATAAATAAAATAAAAGACACTGCACTCTAAAGCAAATTTTTATTTCATACAAAATATATTATTAAAAATAATTTGAACTCTAAAAACCATGTCTAATCAAGTTGTGTTTCAAATTTAAAGCTGATATCACAAAAAATGAGGTAAAAGGTTTTAAAATTACATGCTTTCGAATGATACCTAATTTATGATTACTAAAATATGTGATAGGGAAAAAAATGTCCCACCACCCATTAACAGGCTGTAGAATAACTAAAATTAACCATTCTTTTAGAAAAAATAAATAAATAAATAAATCATATTTTATAGTAGATAAAGATGAGGGGAAATTGTTCTGAAAACGTCCGATGTTGTAAAATGGCAACCGGAATGATTCTCCCATACATGTTCGACCCAGAGTGTCCGTGTGTTGCACCATTCGTGTCAGATCCAAGACGGAACAGCACCGTTCTTTAATCTTAATCGGTCTGCAAATCCAGTCTTGTTTACAAAACAAACCTCAGTGAAATGAAGCGAACAGACAGACAATGTTTTACCCTCATCAGCTGGAACGTCATTAAAAATAGTGCATGCTAATTATCTATTGGAATCCAGAGGAAGCATGTTTTTTTCTGCCCATGTTGGACATATACAGTATCAAACACATAACCATAAGCATCATGTAATTCGTTTAAAACCTCTCAAGTACATCACAAGCTGATCTGTTCCTTTATGAAAACTCCAGGTATGAGCAGTGCTTAGCTGTATGATTAAAACCACCATCATTCTGAAGTTTACACTAACTACCCAGAGAGATGGAAGTCGAGATAGTAGCTATCTATTACGGTAAGTACACTGCACTGAATAACACAGGTCAATAATTCAGCTGAAAGTCAATCTCTCAGACATCAGATCCCAAGGTCGGCACATCACAATGAAGTACAAGCTGACATTCATTGAAAATCAAGCTCGCTCTATTGAGTAAAGTTAATCTATAGAACCGAGGGTAATTGCCCAGTGACCAAGGTGAAAACAGTACTAGGACAATAGAGTAAGCTCATCTTCATGCGTACTGTAACCCGATTATGTACCACATGGAGCAGAAGCACTCACAGAGGACAAAGTAACAAAGGATTTTTCATTAAAAGGATGAGACGGCACGCTGTTTGAAAATGTTTGACAATCAAAACGATGAAAGGGGAAAATGATCAACGTTTATTTTTCTCCAAGAATCTTAGAGATCAAATATTACAAACAAATATTCATACCAGACACCATAAAACACTTTGAAAAATGTTTCTGATTCAATTTGTAATGCTACAACCAATATTAACTACGAATTTGGGATTAAAAGTAGTTTAAATGACGAAGGAAATGAAAAAAACTGGGGGAAAAATAAGCTTAGCTGTATCATGTAAAACTAGACTTTATTGTAATTTGAAGATACAATGTGAATATACTTCAATTGCTTTATTTTCCTTAGGCCTGGATTATGGACTAAAGCTGTCATTTTCCCTTACAAGATTTAGGGGGGAGGAAAAAAGAGAGAGAGAGAGAGGAGTAGAGAGAGATAGATTGTATTTTAAATTGTTCAAAGGATCATATCTCTCTTGCGCATGGATGACAGTGAAAAGGTCACATCACACAGTCAAAGGTCATAGCCTGGTAGGAAAACTGTTTGATTATTCCACATCCATTTAATCCGAATGAATAAAAATGTCAGATGTCAAAGTCACATAAACCAATGACTTATAACTGCTGCTTTGCAAGGGAGGCAGTTATGAAAGGACAGGACACAGAAATCGAGATACAATCAACAGGTAATTTCAACCTAAAAGGCTCTCTGTCTCCAGGCAATGTCAAATAAGAGTACATTGAGGTTGACAAGATGTTTCAATTATAAATTTCATTTAAGTTTTGCAATTCGCATCAATATGTGCTGGTGAAAATTGTGAATTTTTTCCCTCTCCAGACCGCTGCATATGTCAAAATTGATATAGTGATTTATCTTTGCAAATGTGGCATATTCTTGGCTCCCTGTCCGTGCATTTGCCAGTAACAAGATTTTTGCTGTCTGTTCAGGGCATAAATGTAATGTGAATGCAATGATGTAACCACATGAAGATTGATTGAGGGGAAAGTAAAAAAAAAAAAAAAATCAGACGACCACTAATATACTAAACATGTCCTACTCATGGGTGTTAATATATCACTACTAAGTGAAGACTATTACATATCAACATATGGAAATATAAGAATTATTCAGAGACTGCAAATTTCAAATTTTATCAATATTGATTTATTAATATAAAAAATGTATTATGCACTTTAATTTTTAAAAGTCTTAACTGTCGCTTTTGATCAACTTAATACTGACCAATGCAAAAATTAACAAACAACAACAAGAAGAAAACACTTACCTGTGATGACATGCCATGGCATGGGTAAAGTATGGCCCTGTCATCCTCCTCTGACCCCTGGTCAAGGCAGTATCCACTGGCTTTACTGTTTCGCACCTGAAAAATGAATAAACAATAATACACACAGACATTTAAATCATCACACATGAGGCACACTGTAAAAATGAATATGCTTTATCTAATCAATAAAATTGTGGCAACAGATTACAAGCAATATTATTCATTAAATTGAACAAATTTGAATTGAGTAATAGTTAATCAAATTAATATTCTAATTAATTCTAATTTGTACAATTTAATTAATAATATTGCTTGTAATATGTTGCCACAATTTTATTGATTAGATAAAGCATATTATTTTTTTCCAGTGCATAAGCACAGTGTACAATTAAGTAACCCAATTAAACCTATAGCATTTGTGCTGCTCTGAAGGTTGAATATAATTGCACATACACATGCTTTGTCAAATCTGTTTGGGAGATGACAACATTGACCGTCCATAAAACCTAATGCTGGGCAGAGGATGAGATATGTGGATTCTGTGATCTAGCGGGGATATTTTCAGAGACAAACTATTCCAATACAGCTATAGATTTTCCTCCCCTGCAGTTCCAGAGATCAATGTAGAAATGCAGGTCTCATTTTTTTCTTCAACAAATTGAAAACGCTGTTAGATTTCTCTTCTATTGAGATCTAGGCCTGTTGAATTCTAATACACACATGTTGGGTTTCCATGGTTTATTGAGACTTTTCATAGACATAATGATGTAACCCTAAACACAACCCTCACATATAAAAGTTTCAGCATTTTTACATAAAAAAAAAACTGTTCTTTATGATTTATAAGTGGTTTTCCTCATGGAGACCAAAAAATGTCCCCACAAGGTCAAAGATTTCCAGTACACACACACAGACACACACACACACACACCTCCCATCCTCAACCCATACACACTGTATAGTTAATAGGGGCCTCATTAAATCTCATTATGAGGAAAATGGAGCTAATCCCAATGCTTTGTACACTGTTGCTATGGAAACCAATTACCTTTAAATTTCTGTTGTATTTATGCAGTTTTTACCATTCAGTCCAAAAATACAACTTGCAGTGCATTAGTAATGTAATCATATGGAAATGGCAATATACTATAGGATAAAATGTTATTTACTTTAGAAAGATTTAGTCAAATAAACTAATATCAACTTGTATCCTTTCTTCACATGTGCTTAGTATATTGGCTGCTGAAGTGACATTTTTACTTTAAAACCTGCCAAAAACAGAAACAGAAGTGTAACAGAATGATGGATTCTTCACAGGAGTACAGAGGCATTCAACTAACAGTGTATGAGAGGTGCATAAAGGGGTTGGTTTGTCTTTATTACCTCTCCATAAGTGATGGTGTTATTGTAAATTCTCATCTCGGGATAGACATGCTCAAGGTACCAGCGAAAGCTCCTGCAGTTCATTTTCGTCCTCAGTGCTACGCGCTCCGACACGTCTCCAAAATCCACTCCTGGGTTCTGGAACAACAGAACGTTAAGTGTCATACATAGTTAATTAATATATGAAGAATTCAGATGCAAAAGCCTCTAAGTGCCATTTGAAATTTTCTTCTAGAATGATCATTTTTATCAAGCTTGTATATTTAAGTTCAGTGATTTCACTTAAATGGCAATGATGATTACCTATTAATTGTTATTTAAGTGAAATTACTGAACTTAAATATACAAGTTTGATAAAAATCATCATTAAAGAAGAAAATTTCAAATGGCATTTAGTGGCTTTTGCATCTGAACTCTTCATATATATATATATATATATATATATATATATATATATATATATATGTATATATATATATATATATATATATATAATGCTGGAAAAGTCAAATCAACTACCGCAAGTGAAGTGTTGTTAGGATTTATTGTCACACTAATAATAAATGGTGTTATGAATTTAGCCCGCTAATTAAAGAACTGCTCATTTATTAATATAATGGTATTACATATTCCATATTTACATATTTAATGGTATTACATACTGTTAACTTCCCTGACTGTTCAAGCTTTTTATGGACTAGTTCGGTACCTTTTATGACATTCGGTTCTGGTAGTTTGTATTTATCATTTGAATTTTGTATTCACCGTGTTCACTCATCAGACCATCGCACATAAACAAAAGTTTAATCCGTCTGAAAATTGTCAGGGAGAACAGGAGGAGTGCGCGTTTGCGTTTATGTCAGTCATGGGAGACTGCAATTGTTCATTCATTAGGAGCCGCTAACATGCTAATCATCTGTTTAATTACCAGCGCTAGCGAGTGGGCTCAAGTAAGCACGGAGAACTGCTCAGTGAACTGAAGCGAAGAACTTCTAATGGTATTCAAAAACACGCTCAGAATCTAAAACTCAATATCTGATTCTCAGTGGAAGTACTAATAGGAGTAGGCTTGCCAACCATCCTATATAATACAAAAATCGTTCTGTTGTTCAGGAAACACAACTATGTTCAATGCATACCGAATGCAGTTTGTACCGTATTTGAGAGGCTTGCACCCAACAGTTGAGAAGCCTTCAATATTCATCCATATTTTCCACTGGTTTTGATGCCGAGTTAATTTAAGTGTCTAAAATACAAAGCACTTACAATGTGAGGAAATATTTACACACGTAGAAGCTAAATTGATAGGTGTGTAATGATGGGTAACAATTTATTATGACATTAAATTTAATTCCTGTTTACAACAGAAGCAATGAAGTCATACATCAGTAAGCAAAAATGAAAGTGACTGCATTTCAAATGCCTTTTAGCAGTTAATTTAGTCAAGCAATAACATTGTTATACACACAGCTGCGATCATACTATGACTTGTAGTTGTGACCTGGCAGGGCTGCAGCACTGCAGTTGCTAAAATAATCAAATAAATAAATAAATAAAAATAATGAATATACAATAAAAAATAATAAATAAATATAATAATTAGAAGAATGTAAAATAATGCTGAAAAATAAAATAAAATAATTACATTCATCCAATTAAATGCATATTTTATGATTTAATGCTGGGAAATAAAATAAAAAAATAAAAAATAAAAGATTTAACCTAAAAGTTTAACTTTATCAATACAATCTTTTTCAATAAAGGCTTTTATATAGCACCATAAAATAATGAAAAAAAAAAAAAAAAAAAAAGAGTACAGATAACCATTTTATAAATTGCAGGCATTATATAAAGGAAACATTCATATAGAATAGATTCGTATTTTTTTTATTTTCAGTATAAATCTGTAATTTGGATACACAACAGAAACATTGTAAGCATGAAATCTGTTGCATTTGCAGTACGTCGCTGCTTTGCTTCTGTACTGTTTAAGTGCTGTGTGAAACAGGCCTAAATTTTATATTGACTATGATAAGTGTTTTATAAATGACTATCATTGAGTACTGAAGACCAGTTACAAGCTTAGTGAGGGCACTTTTGTAATAGACAGGAATGCACCATGTGGAATTGAACACTACTGCATTATGAATAACTATTAATAATGTATACTTGGCTATTATGAACTTGCTTTCCATTTTAAAATTCGTCTGATATAACGGTTAAGAGGTGAAGTATCTCATTGCATTTATTGACCAAGACCACTCCTGAAACACTTCAATGCAATTAAACCTTTTAATAACTTAAGTGCTGGCTCTGGTTGAATTATCTCTTCAGTACAGTTTTTCACATCAGGAAGAAGAATGGCCTGTGTTTACAAATCATAATTAATTCAGTTAAATGTATATTTTATTAATTTAATGCTTTATTAATGTATTTGCAGCATGAAACCTGTAACATTTGAAACTGTTCGTTAAGGACGACATTGAAACTGACTCTGACAAGCAGCCAAACTTAATCTACAATCTTGTTCTGTGTACTGTGCCTTGCACAGAAGACACGCAAGTAAATGAATCAGGACAAAATTAATCACAGCAATCATTTTCCATTAACCATTGGCTGCCTAGACTCACACAAATTAGGTTGGGTGAGGGTGATTACTAAAACGTTCACTCACATTCATGGGGATATTCCAGGCCATATAGACGTGGGACTTAAACTCATCCATCCAGACCTCTGCTGCCCGCAACGCGTTTCTCTTGGCATAGTAGTCGATGTCATTGTTGTACGGTTTCTTTGTGCGTTCAATGTGCGCTACTCTGGCACATGGAAGAACCTCCATACTGCCGCCACACTGCCACACCTGCGATAGAGAGAGTAAATACATTTTTTCTTTTTCGTTTACTATTGTGTGAACAAAAGTTTCAAGCATGTGCAAATTGATGCTAAGATGCCCATTGATTCATAAAGGTAGTTATACAGTCAGTCAAAAGTGTGTAATAATTAAAGGGATAGTTTACTTTGAAATTAATTTTTGGTATGTTTTAGCTTACCTCAAGGGCATCCAAGATGTAGGTGTCTTTGTTTCCGCAGTAGTTTCAATTTTGATATTTTTAGGTCAAACCGTTCGTGTCTATCAGTCATATAATAGAGGTCTATGGTCACCACCTCAAAGAGCATGCACAGAGAAGTCCAAATTAAACATGATTTAATGACTCGTATATGTAAGTACACATTGATGGCCTATGACACGAAACGAGCGGTTTTCGATATCGTTTTTACTTCTTAACCACAGCCATGTCCTAGTGATCTGAGGGCGCGGACGCTTTGTGGCTGTGGTTACAAGAGGTAAAAACGTTGGTTTTCTCACAGAAACCACTCGTTTCATGCCTTAGGCCATCAATGTGTACTTACATTTACGAGTCATTGAATCATGTTTAATTTGGACTTCTCTGTGCATGCTCTTTGAGGTGGTGACCATAGACCTGCATTATATGACTGACAGACAAGAACGGTTTGACCTAAAAATATCAAAATTGAAAATACTGTGGAAACAAAGACACCTACATCTTGGATGCCCTTGAGGTAAGCTAAAACATACCAAAAATGTATTTCAAAGTGAACTATCCCTTTAAGAATGATTAAATGTTTTTGAAAGAAGACTTTTGAAAGAAGGCTGCTTTTATTTGATGAAAAATACTGTGAAATATTATTGTGAAATATATATATATATATATATATATATATATATATATATATATATATATATTGTGAAATAATATATATATTGTGAAATATTATTACAATTTAAAATAACTTATTTGTATTTGAATATATTTTTTTAAACATAATTTATTTTTGCCATGGTATGCTGAATTTTCAGCAGCCAGTCTTCAGTTTTACATTATTCTTCAGAACATGAAGAGTTCAGATGCAAAAGCCTCTAAGTGCCATTTGAAATTTTCTTCTAGAATGATCATTTTTATCAAGCTTGTATATTTAAGTTCAGTGATTTCACTTAAATGGCAATGATTATTACCTATTAATTGTTATTTAAGTGAAATTACTGAACTTAAATATACAAGTTTGATAAAAATCATCAATAAAGAAGAAAATTTCAAATGGCATTTAGAGGCTTTTGCATCTGAACTCTTCACATGCTAATTTGGAGCTCAAGAAACATTTCTTATTATTATCATCAATGTTGACAAAACTTGTACTGCCTGTTAAATAATGTAATGTTTAATATTCATAGTTTCAACGCAAATTTAATTAATAATCATAGTTTCACCACAAATTTTAAGCAGCAAAAACTGTATTTAACATTGATAATAATATGAACCAATAATAATAACACTAATTGATAATAACTGAGCACTAAATCAACATATTATAATGATTTCATGTGACACTGAAAACTGGAGTAATGATGAAAAATACAGCTTTTCCATTACATAACTAAATTACATTGCAAAATATATTCACATAGAAAAACAAGTTATTTTAAATGGTAATGTAATTCACAATATACCCGTATTGACTTTCTGAGAAGTCCAGTCCAGATTGTGACAGTGTGAGCATATTACCATAACAAATGATATGCCGTGAACAGCAAATGAAAGAAGTCAAATGTATTGCCATCTAAACATTCTAGCCCAAACATCACTTTGTGCTCAAAATTGTCTGCTTTTTATTTGAGATGCCTACTTGCCCAATGGGGTTTGCCC